ATCTGCCATAGTCAAGCCATTTTACAAGGGTTACTTCACTTAATACTCACAATAACCCCATTTTACCAAGGACCAGGTAGAGATTAGGCTCAGAGAGAACAAGTAACTCTTATCTAAGACACAGAGCTGTTCCATGGCAGGTACAGAATTCTTTTCAGTCTATCTGACTAAACTTCTCCATTCAGAAAAGGCAGGCCATCAGGGAACTATAAGAACAAATGGCATTTTCCATGTAAATAAATAAGATCCTCTTTTCCTTCAATCTCCTGGTTATTAGGATATGCTAGTTTATGAGGGTCTCTAAGATAAGTTGACTATTAACATTCTTTCTACTTTATTTCTATAAAGGGCTGACAGTGACCTTTGTAGATTTCAATGTTAACTCTGAAAAACAAGTATAAAGAGATGGATCCAGAATCCGAACTCAGATGCTTTGGAACCAGGGTTTCATCACCCTCATGTAACAATGTCTCCTCATTAAGGAATGGCACAGAAACCAGAACGAGAGCACAGTATGACAGGGAGAAAGGAAAAATGTCATTCTACATGTCTATGAGGAAAGACCTGGACACAGGTAAATTCAGCCTCTGGCTTGATTTGATGGAACAAACTATTTGTAGAACTTTGGGCAAAACTTTAGTAGGTTCTGTCATCTATAAAACAAGGAATTCAGGAAAAGAACCCTCAAAGGTATAAATTTGGATTCCATGATCAAATGCAGGTTGGTAAACATGTCCTAGAAAAGCCAGTCAGCAAACACATAAGGCTCTTCAGGTCACTGAGGTGAGTTGTGTCTATTCAACTCTGTGACCACAGCACAGTGGCCATCAAAGACAACAGGTAAACAAGCTGGCACAGGGTCAGCTATGTTTCAATAAAACACTTACAAAGAGTCAGATTGGTTTGACTCCAGGGGATACGGTTTGCTGGAATCTAACCTAAGCTAGTAGATGTTACTTTATATGTTTGCGAGTTTTGCAAACTTTTTTTTTTAAATGGGCCAAATAGTAACTATTTTAAGCTTGTAGACCAAAGTCTCTGTTATAGACACTCAACTGTTTCTGCACTGTAAAAGGTAGATAGATAATACATAAGTGAATATGGTCAGCCATATGCCAACAAAACAGGCCTCTACTTTGCAATTCCTACTTTAGAAGAATGTGGCAACCAGTGACAGTGAGACACAGCTACTCATCACCAGAGCAAACCCATACCCTTCAGTCCACCATGCTGATAAGCTATGATGGGAGGTAAGGTGTATTAAAAGCATTTCGACATGATGTCCTTATTTCTCTCTCTCTTTCTGTCTCTCTCTCTCTCCATACTGTTCCTTCATTTCCCTCATCCATAAAATAGGGTTGATAATGACAGACTCCATTTCATGGGTTGTGTTTTACGTATTATAACTCAAGTAGCCTGTGAAGTTGCTCTTCCCACAAAGACATAAGTACTGTGAGAAGACTTTTTATTTATTCAGTATTTGGGAAACTGACAGTAGGAAGCAATTAATTGTTGAGTGAGTAAATAAGCAGAAGTGAGTAACAGAAGAACACAAATGCCAAGTCCCATTTCTACTAACACAAGAAACTAAGACATGGCAAGTTTATAATTAGTAGAAGTGTGGTGATGTCAAGATATTGAGCCCCAATTGTAACTCACAGTGTAACTTCAGAAATGCCAATTTTCCTCTCCAACCTAGTTCCCTAACTGTAAATTTAGGTTGATCTAGCAGTTCTAAAACTTTCCTTTGAGCTTCTTACATCTGTGGTTTTGTCTAAAATTAGTGAGGTCAAGCAATTCTTCACACAGACACATTCCTTATTTAATCCTAAACTTAAAAATAGTTTTTGTTATCACTTAATCCTATACATGTGTAAAAATGTAAAAATGGTGTCATTTGTGATCACTTCTGATACATTAAACTGATGGAATTATATTGTCCTTTAAAACTGTTTTATAGTATTCTGTAGCTTTTACAATCTGAAGCAATCTGGTATTTTTTAGAACCTGAAATTACCTTATAAAAGGCAGCTCAGGTTGAAGTAATAGGCAGGACAGGTCTGTACAAGGCAGTATGACTTAGTGGAAAGGAGACACTTGCCATTCAAAAGCCAAGAACTTAGTGCCCTAACCAGAGGAACACCTACTGTGCCTCTGTTTTATTTGGCTTGATTTGAAAGTTTTCAGGGTGTCACCTTCCTGCTACTGCGAAATCTTAGGATTTCTGACATCAGCAACTAAGAAGTTTAAGTTTTGGTCATGCTCTCCACTTCTAAATGGAGCCAATTTTTTTTTCCCAAGGAGTTTTTTCATTTCTATAAACACTGGTCTCTGAACACTACCTTACACACAGGAGACAATGTAAGTTTCCATTTATTTATGCCAATTTCTACTGCAACAAATAGATAATTACCTAAAATATGAAGACCCTCCAAACCCTGACACTTAAATTTAGAAAACTATAATGACTCATTTGTTCCTTCAAAATTACCATTAAACTGCCAAACATTTTCAAAATTCCCTTTCCTAATTTTCCAATCATTTTATCCAGTACCCAATCTGACCTACCTAGTAATACTGACCTATTTAATAGAACAGCTTGCAATATTTCAGTCATTCTCTACGGCTTTTTGACATGCGGGAAGATTTAAAAACAAAAACCCACTTAAGCCTTGTTTCACTGTTTCCCTGGCCAATGAAACACTTAGGAGATACTCAAATACTTCATGTAATGCACTGGCTAAAAAACATGCTTAGTAAACAGGACTTTGCTTCATAAATTCTAACTCTGACACTTGTCATTTATGGACCCTTGAACAAGGTACAATTAGTGAGCCTCAGTTTCTTCATCTGAAATGGGAATGATAGATCTGTTTCTATGAAGGATAAAGATGATGCTGAGGTCTGAAGAGCTAAAAAGCTAAAAACACTAAACAAGTAACAATGTAAATATTGCCACCTGTTGTTGTGGGAGATACAAAGCTGTTTAAGACTTCATGTATGCCTTCAAATAACGTTTATTCTATTCCAAACTGTCAACTGAGTAGTTGACATCAGGTCTTATCCTGTCACCTATGGCTTGTCAAAATGAGATGGAGAGAAGGCTAGCAGATTATCGGAAAGTATCAGAATTTTTATTTATATTTGTAATGTAAAAATGAAGCTGAAAACCAAGTTCCACTATTATTTAACACTAAGCAATGCTTGACGCCCCCGCCCAGTTCCTCTGCCAGATGATGGCCTGTTGGGAATGACATTAGGATTCCCTTGCACCTGCACCTGCTTCAAATGACTTCTGCATCTTATCTGATCCAATCAAGTGAATCCTCATTAATTAAACAAGTGGCTTAAAATACAGCTGCATATCATCAGGACCTGCAAATACTAATGATGCAAACCCGAGAACCGGAAAGCTTACACTTGCCCTATTCTGAGTTCTACCAGTCATGTTAAAGACACGGCTTTTAAAAACAAATGTTTTGAATAGCTCCATTGGTGTGATATTCACTTTTAATCCTATTCATCCACAAAGCAAATGTTTTAGTTAAAATCTAACTAAGTATCTGAATATTTGCTAAGTATCTAATTAGCCAGGAAAACAGTGGCTAATATTTTTTTTTCATCTTCCTCAATATCAAAAAGCAGGAGAAAAAGACATCCAGGGTAAATAAATTTGTCATCATGCCAAGTGCCTATCAGTAATTCTTCTCAGGTTTTTTTCTTTTTTGCCTTTTTAGGGGGCCAATTGGGGGTGGTACTGGGTTTTGAACTTGGGGTCTTACAATTGCCAAGTAGGCACTCTGCCACTTGAACCACACCACCAGCCCTCTTCGCTATAGTTATTTTTGGGATAGGGCCTCCTGTTTTTTTCCTTGGCTTAGACTGTGATCACAGTACTATCTACACCTCCTACTTAGCTGGAACTATAGATATGCACCACCATGATTTGCTCCACCAACAGGTGGAAATAGGATCCGGGTTGTCCTCAAACCTTGATCCTCCCAAACTCCAACTCTTGAGAAACAGGGATTACAGATGTGAGCCACTATACTCAGCTTGAAATTCTTTATTTAAAAAATTTATGATAATGCATGCTTGTAATTCCATCACTCTGGAGGCTGAGGCAAGAGGATCATTAGCTAGGCTACTAATAATGTTTTAGATAGGGAGTCCCTATCTAAAACAAAAAATTAAGAGCACACTAGAACACCTTGTGTCCAAAAGCTGGAAACCACTGGTAGTAGAGCCTCCAACATTGCTTTTGGCAAGAAAATCATGATAATGAAGCATGGTGTGCACTGTTTTCAAATTACATCCCCATGAAGTAGATTTGTGAGAACAGTTTTGAGATATACTTTTATTTAACCACTTAATATTTCAGATGCATTATTAGTACAGCGATGCATTTATGCAGTTGTAAATGTGTCTATACAGACTATGGAATCCACGAAATCTGTACATATAAGTCTAATGCATCCAGATAGTTTACCATGACCTCAAATGAAGTATAGTGATTTAATGATAAAACATATTTATTAAATCTGAGTGTGTTTTTTAAAACAAAGAATGTTTACTCAGTTTTCAGCCCTGCGTTTTTGTAAATATTTATGTAAGTGCAAACTAAATGGCTCCATTTGTTGCCTGGAATACAATGCGACAAACAGCTGTTAGACTGCAACAAAAGAGAACAAGGCAAATTTTACAAAACTTGTTTCCCTAGTTTCCCTTAGTTCTAAGAATTAGTAACAGTTTTCTGCCTATTAATAACAAACAATTCATTTAAAAAGTTGAATTTAAGCCACGCATGGTGACAAATGCCTATAATCCCCAGCACTTGGGAGGTCAAGGCAGGAGAATTGCAAGTTCAAAGCCAGCCTTGGCAGGGCTGGTGGAGTGGCTCAAGTAGTAGGGCACCTGCCTAGCAAGTGTGAGGCCCTGAGTTCAAACTCCAGTGCTGTTAAAAAAAAAAAAATCTTTGAACAAAACCAGCCTTGGCTACATAGTGAGATCCTGTTTCAAAAAGAGCAAACAAACAAAAAAGAATTTTAACTAATTGCAAAACTGCTAAGAAGTTGTTACGGTGGTTGTAGCCAAATATTCCAGGACTGCAGAAAAAAAAAATAACATTTAGATTTACATGTAAGATACTGCTTCTTGGCCTTTGGCTGATTTACATGTAAGATACTGCTTCTTGGCCTTTGGCTAAGAGTAAAGGTAGATTTACATCTGAGAATGGAGGGCCTGTAATCTGATTCGTCCCAGTACGGAAGACATTCAATTTAAACCAAAATATATATTTCAGAATTAGCTAAGGGAACAGTCACTTACCACTCAGGGAGGTAGTCAAAAGTCCCTGGCTCATTCTGTGTTAACTTGCTCACAGATTCTCACCATGAGGATGGAAGAAATCTCAGAGTTCATGCTCCTCACTAAGTGTGACAGAGGTGGGGTACAGCTGCAGCCTTCCAGGCAAGTTCAAGTCACTGGGGAATCCCCACTCGTAAAACTCACCAGTTCCCTTGACAGCTAATTGCATTTTCAGTAGCTCCAAAGTTTTAATTTTACTGTTTTTAACTTAGAGCCCTATCTTGGGCACAGGCTCAGGAAGATTAAGGCATAAATAAATGAACAGAATAAACTTTAAAATTCTAATCTCTTTTTTACTGAGTCATTCAACAAATATGGCCGAGGGTCCACCAGGGCTTGTAAGGACGCAAAGTTCCTAACACTTCCAGAAACTATTAGTAGAACAAAGCCACAACGAGGTAGTATGCTAGCCTTTTTCTTAGACAAATATTTATTAAGGATGATTATTTTTCATATTATTTGTCACAGATTGACTATAGGGAGTAAAATGGCTAGAATACAGATTGATTCTTGCCTGAATAGTTTTACAGACCAGAGGGGAAGACAAAACAGGTAAGTGTGACAGAATGCAGCACTGAGAGCCGTGGGACCTTCTAACACATCTGCAATTATGAACCTGCTAATTCTTCTCTTCTGTAATCAAAACACTTAGATGCAAAATTATTCAGAGAAACAAAAGTGTTTGGCATTTTTTTAAAATTCTGTATTAAATGCATTTATATACATATATATGTATGTATATACAGGTATAATGTTCTGCTTCAACATTATTTACATCCTGAAAATCAGCTTGAAAATATAGAACTCTTTTAGGGCTCTAGGAGCAGGTAACCTGATAATATTTCTTAAGAGCACAGAAGTAAAAAAGATAAATACAGTACCATTTCTGACTTGTGTTTCTACAACCCAATAAAACTGATTCTTTGTATGCTTTTTTATGAAAAGTCTGCAGAGAGAAAATTGTGCTTTATTTCCCAAACATACAAAGTTCTATGTGCATTCCTGCTGAAGAAGGAGAAATGCAGATTTCAGCATGGCAGAAGATGCAGACATGCTCTAGAAGCACTCCTTTGCAAGTCAGGAAGCAGAGATACCTGTGAAGTAGAAGGGGAGCCAGGGAGATGCAGAAAGCTGGGAAATGGCAGGCAGGTCCTGACAGAGGAATAGCAGAACCAGAGGCAGGATGAAAATACCTATCGGGAAGGAGCAATTGGTGATGCTCTTACTTCACCTCTAGAGGTATCTCTTCCTAGAATAGCAGACCAATAGCTTTCATGTGGTATAAAACTGCTATTACTGACAAACTACCATCTGCAGAAAAACTCTTCTATTCAAGCAGACATGCAGGGGAAAAGTCTTCCCTGACCACAGGGATGTAGCCCCACCCACATTTTAGGTTAACCAACTCAGCTCTAAACCAAGTGAGAAGGAAATGAGCTCACTGTTTAGCAGGAAAAGAGCTAAAAGATAGCAATCACTGTGAACAATAATGTAATTAAGAGAACTCAATTTGGCAAGGGATTCAATTTGTATTTAATTTTAAGTCTTAAATAGTATTCTCTCTTCCCAATTTTTGAGATGAACTCATTTTTTTTTGTCTCGAATGAAAGAACTTTGGTAAAGGCAAGAAAGTGAACAGCCTCTTTATGAGGAAACTCAAGGTTCAAAGGCACTTCCTCCCCTAAGACTTCAACAAGAGCCAGTGCAGTACATATTCCATTCCAATTCAGCTAACATTCACGAGGCTTACTCACTGGAATTCACTAGAAAAGCTACCCAAAAGTGACTCTAAACACCATCTCCTTCTTTGTGCAATGGCTTTTTTTCTTTCACTTTCTAGCTCCAGGGAAGTTCTTAGGCTTGAAAGACTAGCTGTGGCATTTCATAGTTAGAAGCTGTATGCACTTAAGTATTATAAAAGACTAATTTTCCCCTGTCTGTAAAATGAAATTAGTAATATCCACTAGAGCGAGAGAGAGATAAAGAACAAAAGGTATTAACCACACTTTAATCTCTCTGGCCAGAGACACTGCAGGTCTATCTATTGTCTACAGAGGGACACTGTAGCAGTCTGGCTTTTCTGAAAAGCCTCTTCCTCCTTTAAACGTGTCGTCCACAGGATCATCTTTCCTCCTGTAATTTGCATCCGTGCATCTCAAGAGACCCCTGAAGCCTCATTTTCTCCTTACACTAGGTTCTTAAGGCTCCTCAAGGAAATTAGAGACAGAAGGCATCAGGAGAGACAACTTAACTGCGGGAAAATTCACACTGTAAATAAAACAAAACCACAGAACTCAAAACCTGGTCAGTTTGGAAAATCCATTTCAAAAGAAGAGTACACAAAGATGAAAAAACTTAATGTCTTGCATATTGTTCCTTTTGTTAAAAAGCTGAACCATGAAGCCACCTGAGACTTCATCTCTTCGAGAATTTTTTTTCTTTTTCCTGTGCAGTTTCTGGTTGTCAAATTCCATAATGGCGATTACTGCTTTCCAAGGAAATGTTCAGGAAGACAGCTGCCTTGGAGGTAGGTCACCAGGACTCCTCTGCATTTTACATGCAAATAGATTCCAGAAGGGACTGTAGCTGCCACAGGCCTCTGCTAACTGCCAGAGGTAGGTCCAGTGCTGCAGGCTGCTCTGCCTCTTAGAGCCAAAGTCTGTTCTTGGCTGTGGAGTTAAAAGAGCCCCTCAACAGATGCTCTATGTAATAACTACAAGATGAAAAAGACTAGGGTTACAAGCCAACAAGGGTCACACTGTCTCTTATTAATAATCATATTAATTTCTGTTTTGTAAAACAATACCAGCACTCATATTTTAGATCCTGGTATTTTTTTAATGCTTTTTCAACATTCACAAAAAGCCGCCATTCTCAAGCTCAAAGCTTAAACACATATACAAGCAGCCGCCATGCATACAAAGCACATGCATCTGAAAGTAACCGCTACTCTAAAAATCTAACATAATGTTGAGGTATGCTTAAGAAACAGGCTAAATGCTAGCAAATTAGGTACATCATGAGTCTCTTACAAATTCTAAAAGTGGGTTTAGTGCTGTGTGGCTCTAGTTCTAGGGTGTTCTGCATCCCATTTACTGAAAGCCAAGATTTATGTTTATACTGGTGAGTGTGTCTTCCTAACAAGGAGAGGGCAGAATTTCATGAGTAATTTCTCTTTTTTTGTAAAAAAACCAAACAAACTGGTGAACCTATTTTGGGGAAGTTTTCTATATTCTTCTTAAACTTATCGTTATTCAATATACTTAAAATCTGGGTTCTGAAATGAAGAAAATTTACATATTCTCTACTTAGTCAGCTCCCAAGAATTAAAAAGAAACAAGTAATCTATCCGTTTCATCTCTGTGTGCTCCCTGATCTGTTCTAGCAGCTGCCTGGAACAATCTCAAAAGCTTAATAAGGTGAGGTACCACTGCCGGGCAATTCCTTTCCCGGAGATGTGTGACCGCTGTGGCCATTACGAAAGCCTGACGTCTGGAAAATGCTGACCCAAGGCAATGGTGCTTTCAACACTGTTTGGAGTTCCCTTTTTCTTATTTCACTTGTAGTTCTTAAGAGCCAAGGAAACAAGGAAAAGAAAGGGGAAACAATGTTATTTTAAAATAAATGAAGGATGCTTCCTTATCAACTTTACTCTCAAACCATCCATTTTTCCAATCAAAATGTCAGACATCTAAATGCAGAGATCCAGTGAACAGTAACCTAACAGCCTATTCTGAAATTTGAGAATGGAAAGCATGAAGGATCCTCCTCTTTGCAATCAATATTCCATGTTCTTAGTAGAAGCCATCTAAAAAAAGATGAGTGGTGTCCTATAGGAGGAGTGACAGGCATGTCCATTTCTCTAGGAAACAGTCCTGAAACTCTCAGGACAGTTCTGAAATGCTGTGACCTCAAGGCTCTCTCTTGAGGGAGTCTTTTGGAGAAAGAAGAGGCAACCTAGACAGCACAGGTTCTCCAAGAATGTGAGAAGAACTTAAGCCAGTCTTTTCCAAACTGTACTTTTACCTTTGGGTTCATTTCTCGTGAGGTTACAAGTGTCACTCTGGTATACTACAAGTGCAAACAGCACATACAAGAATGGAAAAATTGCTAGAATAAGATAGCACAGGCAAGTTAAAAGCAGCCAATAAGCAGGTTCAAGCAAGAAACCCTTCATGTCTCCAGTCTACACCCCTATGATAAATAAACAGTGATTTGCAGAAGCCACCAGGGAAGGGGGAAAGCTGGCTTTGAATAAGCAAGTTAAAAGTATTTCAGTGGAGCTCACCCAGTTTGTTCCTCAGATGTGGCAAGTCATATATCCCCACTGTTCCCAGCTGCGTGAACAATTGACTGAGAAAATCAATGACATCCTACGAAGAGTTTATAGTGGTAAACTGAGTCATGTTGAAAGTAAGCACCAAGAAAGAAGTTATAAAACAGGCATGCATCAGGTGTTATACTTCTGATGCCTTCCCTCTAATTAAAACACTCTTAAAAGTAAACCTCAAGTTGTTTTAAAAAAGATAAAATTTCAAGTTTTAAATATTGAATCTGTATTGATAAAACTAAGCCTACCTCAAAAATAACTCTTTCGAATTATTGCATCTTAACAGTGAACCCAGAAGTCACAGTGAAAAACTGGCACAGGATTTCCAAATCCCTTACTGTGGACACTTCTGGTTGTGAAAGCTTGCTCACACAATCACTAAAACTCACTAGTGCACGCAATGGGGTAATTAAATCTTTAAATACAAGTTTCTACACACATTGTTTTGTTTTCAGTAGCAAACTGCTTTAAGAAACACTTCCCGTGGTGTTTTTTATTTGTCTGTTTTTTGATATTTGTAATTCCATTAAGATTGGAAAGCTCTGAAACGTCCCTGTCACCAAATAAAAATTTTAACCACAACATGTCTAGTTTCCTGGATTTTCCTCAGTCTTCGAGTAACACACTCTTCAAAATAAAATCTGAGTTCTTTCTCTACTGCTCTCTTCTCCAGTAATTTTTTGTTCCTGCCTCAGAGAAAGTAAAATAACAAACAGTAAGGGTTACATATAAATTCTACTCAACTTGAGGGCAGTGTAGTTCGTTTCACATGACTTCTGGGCAATTTGGTAAAGCCTTTGGAATGCTGTACAGACCAGTTTTACACATGCTTGTCACAAAAAATGATCAAAGTGTTGAGTGTGGTGGTGCACGTCTGCGATCCCAGGTAATGGGGAGGTGGAGATGGGAAGGATTGCTGTTTGAGGCCAGTCCAGGCAAAAGTTTGCAAGACCCTGTCTCAACAAACAAGCCAGGCATGGTGTTACCTGCCTAAATTCCTAGCTACAGGGGATGCATATTAGGAGGATTAAGGTCCAAGTCCAGCCCCACGCAAAAATGCTAAGACCCTACCTGAAAAATAACTAAAGCAGAAAAGGACTGGGGATGTGGCTCAAATGGCAGAGCACCTGCTTAGCAAGCCAGAGGCCCTGTGTTCAAACCCCAGTACTGCTCCCCTTACCTCCCCACCAAAAAATGATGAAAGTACACAAAAGCATAAAAAAGGAAAAAACAAATTTATCTACATATCAAATAGTCAGATGTAATAATTTTTATACTCTGCTAGTTTTATTGCATTGTATTTTTACATAAAAGGTTGACTGGTTCTAATATGCAGATACTTTAAAGCGGTACAAGTTTTCCACTGAGTGCCAAGTATAACCACATGAAAAACTGCATTAAAATCCAACAGTGCTAGGCACTGTCCCGCAGACAGTACTCTCATTTGTTTAGGCCAGCACCTTGCTTTAAAAGGGAGCCTCTAAGAAATTTCCATTTTACCATACCCCTCATTCTCTCTATTATTTTACATAAGGTTGTTCTGAATGCATAGGAACCTGCCCGGAAGGGATCTCTGGTCATTGGAGTTTGTAAGGGAAATTCAGATAAGGGAAATTAAGTAGGAAGACAATAGATGCTTAGTGCCTCCTGCCCAACTGGCAAAAGGCTCAACATTGAGATTCATTTCCTTGGCTTGTATCTAGCTTGAAGTCCTATGCAAAAAATAAAGTGAAACACAATCACTATTCAGCCTAATTAAAAACAAAGAAAAAAGGTTTAGGAGTTTCACATCATGAAATATGGTCATGTTTCAGATGGTCCTGAGTGACGAGAACTGAATGGAACAAGCTGCTAGCAACAGGAGTCCAGTTGCTCTTAACCCAGAGTAGGATGAGGAAGCTGGCTGCCCTTGCTGCAGTGCAGGCAGGTCCCCAAGGGGAACAGAGGTGGCACATCCCAACTTCAAGGGAAGCAAGTGGAGTGGTCTGGGATGAGTCCGTGGAGAGGTTTAGAACCCCAATTGATTACAGAATAATAATGTACAGAGTAACAAGGGCAGGCATACACAGCACAAATTTATTAGATATTTATGTAATGGCTTGGGTTGAGTAATTGAATAGCAAATACAGTAACTTTTGAGGATTCCTCATTTAAAAAATGTTTTAAGAGATCTTTTCTGTGTCTGTAGGAAAAGTTGCCATATGCTTGGTGTTCTAGGGTTACACACCTCTCCCAGCACAGTTCCCCAGCATGCTGTGGGAAAGACCCTGCCGCTTATGGTAAAACCCTGCAAGCTCTGTGTTAACATACGCCTCCAAAGTGCTTGACTTTTCTGTCACCTCTGCCCTACAAGTTTTCCTAAATATATAAACTCTTTCCCCCATCACTCTTGCCATTGTATTTGCTAAAATAACATGGTATTTTATTATTTTGCAAAACATGTGTTCTGGAACTACTTAACTATATTAAAATTTTTTAGAAGCAAGAATTCCATGTTCCTTGTATTCTCCTTATTGACATTACTATGATTATCACAAGATCTAATTACAAGCCAGAATGGTTGATTTTTCTGCAGGAAAAGAAACCAAGGTCCTGATAATGGTTTGGTCAAACGGAACACTCCCCATTGTTAGAGTGAACAAAAAGAAGCCATGCTAGGACTGGACCCCTACCCTTGCAGGCAGCTTACTGACAGCCCATCACCCACCAGAAGGACCACACCTAACTTCAAAGAAATGACAAGGCGCCACTCACCAGGGATCTTGTCCAGAGCTGAGCAACTTATCTACCTAATTACCACTTATCTCCTCTAGCTTCCCTTAGGGATGGTTTACACCACTTGGAAGAATTTTCCCACCCAGTGGGGTTTCCACTCCAGACCACACTCCCCTATATCCACTCGAGTCTGTAAGCGGCTGGAGGCTCCAGTTCTCTTTCTGGGGACCCCCTCCTCAGGGATACCTCCCAAATAATAAACCCTGTGCTGGCATTTGTGCCGTCTTTCTGCCTGTTCCATGCCTCTTCCATTCTAACACCCATCAACCTATCTCCAAACTTCATTCATTTTCATTTTCTAACAAATATCAACTGAGTGTCTGCTGTGAACCAAACAAAAAGTGATAGAGGAAGAAGAAAAAGACAACAAAGGCAACAAAGACAGGAAATTATAGATAAGGTTCAGGATACAAAATAAAAATCAATTATCTCTTTTCTCATATACCAATTCCTTAGGCAATTGGATCTGAAGGCAAAGAACCTTTGAAGGAATGGGACAGAGTAACTAAGAATTCCCTAGGCTCATCAATATGCAGACCAAGGATTAAATTCAGGTTGAATACACTGAGTACATATTCACACAGATACTGTTATGATTTTTTAACATAGTGTCTGATATTAAAAATAGGTGACAGGTGGGCATGGTGGTATATATCTGTAATGCTGGCTACTGATGGCAGAGACAGGAGGTTCACAATGATTTAAATCTAGCCCAGGGGAAAAGTGAGTCAGACTCTTTCCCAAAAACAAGTGAGGGGTGGTGGTGCATATCTGTGGTCCCAGCTACTTGGGAAGCAGAGATAAGAGGATCACAGTTCAGGGCCAGTCTAGACAAAGATAGTGCACTAAGAAACCTTATCTGAAAAACAGACTGGAAAAAAAGAGCCAGGCACTGGTGGCTCACACCTGTAATCCTAGCTACTCAAGAGGAAGAGATCAGGAGGCTCACGGTTCAAAGTCAGCCCAGGCAAATAGTTCATGAGACCCTATCTCAAAAAACCCTTCACAAAAAAGGGCTGTGGAGTGACTCAAGGTGTAGGCCCTGAGTTCAAGCTCCAGAACTGCAAAAAGAAAGAAAAGAAAAAAAGAAGGAAGGAAAGAAGAAAGAAAAAAAAAGAAAGGGAGGAAGGAAGGAAGGAAAGAAGGGCAGGAGGCATGGTTCAAGTGGTAGAGCATTTACCTAGCAAGCACAAGGCTTTGACATATAAAATAAAAATTAAAAGTAATATACATTATATTTAACAACTGGTCAAACACAAGCTTATACTACTCAGATGCACTGCTGGTCATCAACAGGTAGTTTGCAGAAATGGATTCCCAGCAGCTAAATATCACATCAGCCAATTCTCTCCAGCTCCTCCTTTCATTGCTTTGTTTTAATATATATTGAAGAGGGGACTTTATTTAAAAAAAATATTGGAAGTTACTACTCTAAGAAATATGGTTATCTCATTTGGAACACTGTACCCCGGTAATAAATCTCAAGTCATGTGATAAATCACAACAAATCCAGAGGTAAGGTCTCTGTTGCTGCTTGGTCTTCTGCCATTTTTGACAAATTCCTCTCTCCCATAAGTCTGTAGAAATGGTCAACTTTTACCAGAGGCTGTAAATAGTACCCCATGAAAAGTCTGACTTTATTTATACTTTACAAGTATAATGAAAAAAAGCCAGTTTTAGACTTGTAGATTCAATTTACTTGAAGCATTTAACACTCAGCTTGCAGAAGTTCCAGCTCTTTCAGAAGAACGTATGGGATGGATTGCATCTGTGCTAAACTATTTTAACCCAGAATGTGTATGTGATGGGAAGCAGTGTATCTGAACGTAAAAATGGACAATAGTTCTTTCCTAAAAAGGACGAAACAAAACAAGCTGGACAGGCTGGTCTTTTGTTTATTATGTCCAGTGAGTACAGTAACTCCAATGCTCTGTATTTCTTTGCCTTAGTTTAGTCAAATAAGTTATTCACATTACCATATATGATATATTGTATTACCTCAATGAATTATTTAGGCCAATTTCTTAGAGCCAAGGAGTAATGGTCAGAAGAGCACAACTCCAACAAAATAAAATGTATCATTTCCTTACCTTTCCTACAGATTTAGTATAAAGCCAAGTGACTAGGGCAACATTTGAAATAGTTACAGTAACAAGAAAATAACTGAAGAATTTTGTCATACTTACCGAATTGTAAATTTAAACATAGTGGGTTATACATATTCAAATACAGGTATTTTTTTAAACCTACTAAACCACAATTTTAAATAAAGTGCCAAAATTATACTATCACATCAATTACTGTTATCTTCTTAATCTCAAGTTAAAAATTCTAGGGTTTCCTAATCAAAAGTGGTTTTTGGATATCAAATCAACGGAAACATAACTAACCTTAAAGAAGGCAAACCACTTGTAGTCATTCAACACAATCTCAAAGCCTTGGTTGTAAATGATGGTGAAATGCCCGTAATTGCCCAAGTTGTCATATGCTGTATTCAACTTCTTCAAGTGTACCACTACTTTCTTTTCTGATGGTCCTAAAGAGAAGAAAATGCATAGCCAAGGAAAGTGATTTGAACTTGCAGGGGGAAGGAGAATCTCCTTGATAATTTCTATTTGATTAGGCTGCTTTCCTTTCATGGTACCCAACTGGGGCCCCCAGTCTTACTGTGGTCTCATTGTGCTTCCTCTACACAGTTCTGGAGGGTTCTCAAAAACACAGACCTACCATGCAGCCCAGCAAGCAGAGAGCAACCAAACACTTTAAAATAGGCAGTGGGGGATGCTCAAAATTACAGACAGATAAGAAGGCAAGGGTAAATAGTAGCAAAAAAATGAAAAGTATAAGAAAAGGTATGATGGGATACAAAAACCAGCTATGAAGCCATAAGGGTGTCAATATGTCAAACCTAGGAGAAATCAAGAAATGTTCTATTCAGAGAAGAAATGGGGTCCCTTTTCCCTCAAAGGCTCTCTGTGCAGATGTGAACCTCAGACTCTGAATCCTTGGCAGAATTTTCAGCAAACTTGGAGTTTCTAGCCTATAAAGCTAATTTGTGCTGATAAGAATCAATATGTTTAACTTGCAGAAAATGAGGACTCAGATCTGTAGGTATTTTAAATTACTGGATTAAGGTCAAAAGTAGGTTTATAAGTAGAGGCTGCCTAAAGTGTCCAGCCGTGTCCATCTGGAGGTTTCCACACTTCAGTCCATCTTCCTTGTTTCCAATGAATAAATACTCTGAATGGGAAAAGTGTGTGACCAGGCACTGCAAATGTTGATTTGCCTTTTGTGCAGACCCTCATGCTCACTTTATGAAACAAACAATGCTATACAATGCCCACAGTTATGGAAAGCCATACAAAGTTCTGGAATTAGTAAAATAGGCTTAAAAAAAAAAAAAAACAGATTACTTGACAACCTTTGATCTGCTGATGAGGAAATTACAGCTGAGAGCCTGGATCCCTTTGTGCAGGTCACATGGCTGTGGACAGCGCAGAAGTGTGACTCTTAGGAACTGCAGTGTTTTTTTTCTCCCCTCTCTAGTGGCCTCTTGGTTCTAAGGCAGCCAAGTTATCTAAGGGAATATAGTACATCCCAGTGTGTTGATACACTACATACTTAAATTTAATAAACGCCGTCCATAAGGCAGGCATGTGCGTGGCTGGGACATTTCCAAATATTACTGAGTAAAGAGTTAAAAATAAATAAGTAAATGCTTCTGCATACCTCCTTGCAAACAGTGCAGGACGGTACCAAAAATTTTCTAGGGCACAATCCCAAATAGAAGAAAATAAAAAACAAAACAAAAATGTGCTAAATGTGCTATATTAACAGTCTGCCTTAGTTTCTCTTCACCAATGAAAAAAGAAAAACCTGCCAGATTGGAGCAGAGAATCAAAAGATTAAAGTGTTCAACTCTCGCTGGGCACCCAGTGGCTCAGGCCTGTAATCCTAGCCACTTGGGAGGCTGAGATGGGGAGGATCGTTGTTCAGAAGACCCTCATCTCCAAATTAACCAGAGCAAAATGGACTGAAGGTGTGGCCCAAGTGGTAAACGACGCCCTGAGTTCAAATCCCAGTCAGTCCCACCAAAAATAAATAAATAAATAAAATAAAGGTGTTCAACTCCTTTCTGAAAAACCCAACACAACGCACAGAAGTTAAAGAGGAAAAGTTCTTGTAAGCAAGAGCTGAAGCCGGAGAGTGAGGAGATGTAAGGTCAGGAGCTCGCGGCGGCTCCGAGAGGACCTCGCGGTCCCCGAGCCCTACGGGGGAGGCGCCGGCTTACCCAGAACCGAGCAGTTAATGTCGCGCTGGGCACCGCCGCGGCCCACCTGGAAGACCCAGGTGCCCAGCAGGTCGGGGTAGGTGCAGTTGGCGGGCGTGTCGCAGCGCACGGCGCAGACTCCGCAGAGAAGCAAGAGGGCGGCGAGCGGCCGGGGCCACGGCATGGCTGGGCTGCAGAGGACGGCGCGGGGTGAGAGGCAGGCGCCCCGGGTGGCTCGCGCCTTAAAACAGCCGGGAGCCTGGAAACCGGGCGGACCGGGGCCACGGCGGGGGCGGGGCCGGGGGCGGGGCCGGGGCGGGGCTGGGGAGGGCGGGGCCCCGCCCCTCAGGTGCGGCTTTCCTGGTGCGCGCGCCTCCCTTCTGTCTGCTGCTGGCCGCTGAGACGGAGAACTTGGGGACAGCTAAAGGACATTATGCATAGCCGGGGTGACTGCAATCAGAGCTGCAGAGGGAAGGAGGTTGTCCTAGACAGGGCTCACAAGGGGAGGGCTCTCTGGTTTTTCTCCTGCCCTAAGCTGAGGTCCACTTGCTCATGGCGGGCTATATGGGGTTTTTTTTTTTCCTCTCTCGGAAAACTTCTACTTCCTAACCTCAAGCATTCTAGCTGTTTGAGAACTTCTCTTCCGTTTCTCAACGTTTACTGTCTTTTTATTTGCTCGTTTTTGTTTGACTTCCTGTGAATGATTTTTTTCCCTGTTTGCTTACAGAATTCAGTTGTAGTGCAGATTTGCGGGGTTAGTGGATCGGTCCTCTTTTTCGCCCTCTGGAACTTTGTGGGATTTAGTTACACCAGGTTCGGGGGAGGGAGGGGAGCTTTCAGGGATCACACTGCTGCAGCCATTCTCTTTTACACATGAAAAGCAGCAGTAGTTCACCCAGAGTGAGAGGGTGAGGAAGAAGCTGGTGGAAGAAGATTCATCTTTCAAGTGGCTCCACGGAGCCAGTGTCAGGGCCAAAAATTCGTAGGCAGCACTGTTTTCAGGTGCCTCCTAGGCTCAGGTTAAACCCCACCCTTTCATGAGGGTTTCTCTGGCTGGCCTGACATCGCTGCTCTTGGGCTCCTTTTACCCAAGCCTCCTAGATACCGACCCTGTGGACCCTGGGGCTCTGCCCTCTTAGACAGATGCATTTCTGACCCCATCACACTGGTCACAAATGTTTACGTGTCCACTTTTCCACAGATTATGAGCGTCCAAGGGAGAGCAAATTCCAAGTTGTTTATTTTTAGCTTGTTAGATTCTGGTCAAAAACACTCAAAGAGCATTTCAAACATTATCTTGGTTTCTAAGCCTGAAAGCCAATCGTGACGGCGAAAGCAGTTGCTCTTGAAAGCTCAGCGGTGAAAATAAAGTACCAGGAGCAAGGTGGGATCAGCACCTTACTTACAAGTTTTATAGACCTTTAAAACTAAAAGCTGACATGTTATTAAACTAACACCCCATTTAAAGATAACTGGACAGAATTAACATTGCCTTCTGAAATCCCTGTGTCATTGTTGAAACATTAAAATTTTTACTACATCCATCAATATTTTAGAGCCAAACAAGTGAAGGTGGAAATTTCTTTAATGAGCATAATGAAAGTAGCACACTTAATTGTGAAGAAAGTTTAAAACGGTTTTTATGTGATGGACGAAAAGGATCTTGGAGACCTTTTGGTGTAATAACTTCACTTTAGCATTTGGAAATGAAGATCTAGAGAACTGAATGATTTGCTGAATATCATATTGCTACTTAGTGAGATTCAGGAATAAACCTGAGGCCTGGTGTGATAGTGCACACCTCCAGTCCCAGTGCTAGGGAGGCTACGGCAGGAGGATCCCAAGTTTGAGGCTAGCCTGGGCTACAGTTCTAGGGTAGCCTGGGCTACATAGCAAGATGCTGTCTCAAACAAAGGAACACACAAAAAATTCAGATATGTTAAATGACATGAAATAAAAATGAGTTCATGTGCAACACAGAGTTTGTTGCTAGGCCTACGTAATTATGAGTAGGTTTACAGGGGCAGCCTTGCTTAGTGGTGGTTCTCCAAGTATGGCCCCAGGACCAGCAACATCAACATCTCCTTGGAATTTGTTAGAAATAAAACTTCTGAGCCCTATCTCATATCTACCAAATCAGAAAATGTCTAGGTAAGACCCAACAGTCTATGTTTTAACAGATCCTCTCTTTCAGAGGATTCAAACTAATGATTATCATCAAGCTAGAAATTATCAGCAAGGACTCAGACTTAAGTTTGAAATCTGGCTCTGACACTCACCAGCTGTTTAATTTTGAGGAAGTCATTGTGTTGCTTTCAGTGCTTTCGTTTTTGGTGTAAAATATTCATAATGATATCTTCTATGTCTCCCTTATCTGTTTTCAAGAAGAATAAATAAATTAATACAAATCTCTCCAGAGATCAGACTGCATTTGTCATTGAGTTTATTTTATTGGAAAACTTTTCCTTATTAATCAGACCAGTAAGTTCCAAATCCTGTCCATGGTGACAATAACAATTCCTGGCACATAATAAGTGCTCAAATATTTATTGAAATGAATAATATAATGGCTATACATTGATGAATACTTCACAGGATGTGGCAAAGAGCGTCATGATTTCCATAGTCTAGAAACAAAGGAAGAACTTGACATTTCAATGTTGAACCAGGTTATTTGTGTTGTAACTAACAATAATAACCATAATAATTTTATTTATTGAGCAATTTACATTTTTATGACAGTATATAAAGCATATGTAATTCCATCTAATTATCATACAATTCTAAGAAGAATATATTAACTAATTTCTATTTTTTCCCTAATAAAGCTTAGGCTCAAGCAATTTATTAGGGACTGATAATAAACTAATGCCTATAAAGGAGGGAAGAGAAAGAGAAAGCCTCACACAATGTAGGTCTGACACCTGTGAAAAAGGAAGGATAGAGCCTTAGGGAGAAAGAGACACAGAAATATAACCCTGGCAATCCCAGCCAGCCCAGCTGGTGCCAAGACTGCTTGCTCATAGAGAAGCAGGCTTTGGCAGAATGGCCAGGCCCTGGCCTGGGGCTTTGCTTAGTCATTGGCCTCATGCCAAAGCTGAGGTGTTGGATCTTGAAGTCATGCTGCCAGCCCTCTCTCTGTGTGCTCTTGAAAATAATCACAAGCATGAAAGGATTACTTGTGCAGGTCCTGTGACATCCCAAGTTTGTTCAGATCTTGTGATGTCCAAAGTACCATACTCTGTTTCTGTCCTTATCTTCTTGGCAGGTGTCAAAACGTGTGTTCCCACATTCACCATTCATTTTAATCATCTGCTTGACTTTTATACTAGGCTTCATACTCTTTCAAGGCAGGACAGTATCTCACAGAGCTTGGCCAACATGTACTCATTCATTCACTCCATAAAATGGATAAAAGTAAGGAAGGCAGGAATATAACCAGGAAAGAAAGCAGAGGGAATAATGAGATTCTGGGCATGAAAATTCAGCTGATCAGAGCTTACTGAAATGGTGCAAGAAATCTCAGAGTTGCTGTAAGTAATGTGGCTTAAGTTGGTTAATTGCACAATCCAATGTTTTCACATTGTTTACTTTCAGGGCGCCTTTGCATTCTTGAAGGTTAAGAACACGCCAAGGTAATTTTTACTCTTATGGATGAGAAGTTTAAAAAATGAATATTGATTTATTCACTTAATAACAATACGACAAAAGTAATAACTTATTTTGAAAATACTCATGCATCCCTTATTAACAAGGAAATATTCTGAAAAATGTGACATTAGGTGATTTTGTCCTTGTGCAAACATCATAGCGTGTCCTTACACAAACCTAGATGGTATAGATCAGTCACTCAGTGGGATCTCTTGATGCAACCAGAGCATCAGTCTTGCTCTGGTAAATGCAAGATGGATGAGGCTGCTGCTAGCACGAAACAACTGCAGTCAGCATTCATTTTTAATAAGTAGAAAGATTGCCCTGTACAAGAACGATAAAAATGTGTAATATAGTATGGCAGGCACAGTAGTGCCTGCAGGTGATCCCAGGAGAATCAGAAGCTCACCAGCAGCCTGGACTGTATATGAGATCCTGTCTCAAAATAAAAATTAAAAAGATAGAAAATACACAGACTAGTAACATAGTTGTTTATTATTATTACCAAGTACTACGTGCTGTATGTAATTGTATACACTTTTATGTGACTGGCAGTATGGCTGGTGTGTTTGCACCATTATCACCACAAACAAATGGGCAACATGCTACTGAGAACCTCTCCAGTAATATGACTTTCCACCCTGGCATTCCCTCACTCACACTCACATCAGAAATGTGTGCTCTCGGTCACAGGCAGATGTAGTTACGTGACCAGCACCATCCCAGAATGGTAACCACTGAAAGCACATTTCCTGTTAATCGTGGGTTGCTAGTGTCATTTTTTGCACATCAGGTGTGGGACTATTCTAGGTTTACTCAGTTACTTTATTTAAAAAATAGGAGAGTGTCCTTGAATTTGATGGTTAAGAACTTATGAAGTTAGAAAAATGTCCTTTTTCTTTCAATAGTCCATTACATTCACATTTATGTCCGTCTGAGATAACTTTCAGTAACCTTCAGATAATACTATTCCCATTTTACAGATAAGGAAACTGGGGCCCAGGAAGAAGAGACTTTTCTGTGGGCACACTGTCCATGCCACAGAAGCTTTCTATGTTAGATTGTTTGAATGGAATTAAGAAAGTGACACTGTGTGTGATTACTAATGCAGTCAAATGTAATACTAAGAGAAACAGGTTTTACAAGTGAACCACACAGACAATGTGGGTTGAAGCAGCTGCAGAATGGTGAATTCGGAGTCAGTCTCTGCTATTTGATCTCATTTCCGCTTCACCCTTTACTTTTGTTGCATAAACCAAGTGTTTGAAAATGAAACATTTGAGAAGCATTACTTTAACTGAGACTAGGATTCCCAGAGTAAGAAGAAAAGTTGACAAACCTAATGTATGACTCCTCTTTGCTATGTTTCCACCAACAGCCCTCTGTCCAATGCACCATCATTTCTCTCGCCAATTACCTAGCAATTACTTTCCATTTTCTTCTTGGACTTAATGTGCGAGCCAGGACCTAAGTTATTGTTGACACTTTACTATGCTGCTGTTCTCCCCACGCTTCACCCCTGCTTTACCTGATCAGCCCTTGAGCTATTGCGCCATTGCGCCACTCCTCACTACTTTGATTTTTTTTTTATTTGAATGCAAAGCATGTTCAGTTACTTG